GTGGAGGCTCCATTGCCTACCTCTCCCACCTAAGATCACCTTGCAGGAAACCCAGACATCTTGATGGGCATGTCAAGGTCACTTTTGAATCCTTAATTCCTTGACCTCTCAGAAGCATTTGACACAGTTATTCATTCCCTCTTCAAAACTTTTTCCTCCAATGCACTTTGACCTCTTGGTTTTCTTCCTACTCCTCTAGCTATTCCTTCTTCTTATTCTTTTTCTTAAGTTTATTTATTTATTTTGAAGGAAAGAGTGAGTGAGCACGAGCAGGGGAGGGGCAGAGGCCCAAGCAGGCCCCTCGCTGAGCACAGAGCCAGACGTGGGGCTTGAAATCATAAACCATGAGATCATGACCTGTGCCAGACTCATAACTGACTGAGCCATCCAGGTGCCCCCTGGCTGTTTCTTCCATGACACCTTCATGAGTTCTTTTTCCACCTGATTTTAAGGCTGGTGTGTTCCTGGACCCTCTCTTTTTCTCCCTTGCCATACTCTTCCTGGGGATAGACAGATATAATCTATCCTCATGGATTTTTGTGATTTACATGCTGGTACTTTTCAAATTCATATCTCCTAGCTCTCTCTCCAAATGTCAGACGATACATTCAAGTTACCAGCTGGGCAGTACCACTTGGATATTCCCTGGGTACCTCAGTGGTCACATGGACAAAACTGCTCTCACTGCCTCTACTTCATATGCTCTCCTAATCCAGATCTGTTTCCCTCATAGTCTCTGTCTCAGTAAAAGTACCACTACCTACAAAACTCTACAGGCTTGACACCCTTGACTTCTCCTTCTCCCCATCCCCATAGCAACTTCTCTGGTTTAGAACTTCATCACCTATAGTAGCCTTGTAACTGGTTGTTCTGCTTTAGACTTGCCCCACTCTAAGTTGTTCTATGTATTGTAACCAAAATTAACTGTTTTTGCATTTTCAAAAAGGTGTATTTTTAAATCATAAAACTGACACACACTTGTGACAATTTGAGACAGTGTAGTTAGTGGGATATAAAGTAAAAACTGAAAGACTCCCGTCTCCCATATTTCCAACCTCATTGTGGGTAAACAGTTTGGAGTATTTCCCATCAGACTTTTTTTCTACGCTTATCCAAACATAACTAGGCACCTACTGTAGGCTGTATGCCACTTTATTTTCCAGAAATCCAGAAATTCCCATTTCCTTGCACATTCCAGGCTCTATGTCCTTTCCTTAATTTTCTCATGTTTTCTCTTCTCTTTCCTCATCTTCCCTCTTTCAGCTGACACCTACTGATACTTTTAAGATTTATCTCATGTATCATCTCTTCCTTTATGCTCCCAGACTCAGTAGGTATGTCCCCTTTTACCTAAGTTATTGTGCTGCATTATTATAAACTCTTCTGTGTTGCTTTCTCCCACTGGGATAGAGTTTCTTGAGGAATAGTCTATGCCTTATTCTCCATGGCATTCCCCCACACTTGACATAAAACCGGGCAGTGTTCAGTTCACATGACTGAATGATTGTGACTGTTATTACTGCCTGTGTCTCCTGAAGTGCAAGTGCCTTGGGTTGGGAGGCAGTTGTTTCAAGCAGACAGGACTATGAAGCTTCCTGACCGTCTGTTCGCAGCAAGAATGGGAGACAAAATAGAGTCTGAAGAAAAAGAGAAAGTATCCAAAAGTGGGGAAAGGAGCCTGGTGGCATCAAGGGAAGGAAAGGGACTGATATTTATGAAAAATATTCACAGTTAGCATCTCATATATGCTCATATCAACACTACCATCTCCACTTTACAAATGAGAAAATTGAGGATCAAGATGTAAAGTACCTTGCCCAAAGTCACCAAGTGAGTCGTAGAGCCAAGTAGCGAGCCAATTCAAATCCAATTCTGTGTGAGTGCAAAGTCCAAGTTCTTACACACTGTGCACATTGGTGACCTGGTGGGTTCGGTATGGTTAACACCAGCCATTTCCCTAGACCCTTCACGGGTACTTGGAAAAGGTCTGTGTCTTGGAGCCTCTGAACAGAGGCCTTTAGCTTCTAGGGAGATAGTGACAAACCCAGCATGTAGATTTTTAGACACTGTGGGTCTTTTCACTTCCATATGCCTTGAAAGGGAGGCCATGGCTTCAGAGTTTATGTTGGAGGAATTGAGTCTTTCAGGGTTCTGGAGGAGGCCAACCAAGGCTTTGGAAAGTCTTACTCAGCTGAACTTCCTGCAAATTTCTCTCCGGCAACTGTAACTACCCTTGGTCTTCTCCTAGCCCTTCATCGGCCCTAGTTGCTGTGTCGTTTTGGGATCTGGTAACCAGAGTACACCTATGGGGCATATCATCTCTGGAGGCTTAGCAGCCTGGGGCCCAGGTCCTTCTTGGCTGTTGTGGGTTCCTTGAGACTGAGGAGGGCACTGCAGAACAGGGATGGGGGGCTAAGGTACTATTGGAGTAAGGAGCTGTGTCCAGGGGTGAGGCTGAATCACAGGGAATGCTAGTCCTGCAGTCCACAAATGTTTACTGATGCGACCTCAGTATTGTTTGGTTTTTGAGGGAAGGGATGCCAGGTCTGTCCTTTAGGCATACTGAAATACTAGTGGTTCTTGTGTGTGTCCTGTATCTCTTACCTCCAGAGCTTTATACATGCTATTTGCTGACTGGAATGCCTTCTACCTCTTATTTTCACTGCTAACTCCTTTTTGTTCCTTCAGTCTCAGCTTGCCTGTTACGTGACTCTTCAAGACTGGGGATCTCACACTCCAAGGTTGGGTAGGGGGCACATTTGCTGGTTAATTCTACACTTCTGTTTTCCCTCTTTTCTTGCAGGAAGTTGTTGGACTCCCCATTTGGGAAATTCATTCATCTCATAGTCTCCTAGTTAGTATGACTGATACCCTTTTTTCCAGCTCCAGGCAAAAGTCTAGTTGTTTAAGCCAATTAATTCTCATGTCTCATTCTACTTGTTAACTGTGATTGGTTCAGGTATGGGCATAGACTCAGAAACAATGAACCAAGGAGAAACCAGAGGCATTAAGAGTTACCAGAAGAGCCACCTTCTTTTCTAGAGACTGAATGAAGAAGGATAGAGGTATGCAGCTTCACTGTGAGCAACCTAGAATTTAATAGAGGAAAGGTTTAAGGGGTGACAGCCTTGTGGGAATACAGGCTAGGGAACTTAGCATCTATCATTAAAAATAGAACGTTTTGGCTCCCATATTCACTCTTTATTTACTTTCCACTTCATCAGGATTTTGGACAAGAAAGAGGGGTGCTATTCATGGAGGACCCTTTGGAGCTCCAGCACAGTCTTTGCATACACACCCATCCACACATAAACACGTGCTCTTGGGGTTATTAAAATTTTTTTTTAATGTTTGTTTATTTTTGAGAGAGAGAGAGAGAAAGAGAGAGGCAGAGAGAGAAGGAGACACAGAATCTGAAGCAGAATTCAGGCTCCGAGCTGTCAGCACAAAGCCCGATGCGGAGCTCGAACTCACAGACTGCGAGATCATGACCTGAGCCAAAGTTGGATGCTTAACCAACTGACCCACCCAGGCTCCCCGGGGTCATTTTAATATACTCTTTGGATCATATTCACCTACTTGTAAAAAAAGTTTATTTATTTATTTTGAGAGAGAGACAGAGGGTGCAAGTGGGGGAGGGACAGAGAGAGAGGGTGAGAGAATCCCAAGCAGGCTCTGTGCTGTCAGCATGAAGCCCAATGTGGGGTTCCATCCCACAAACTGTGAGATCATGATCTGAGCTGAAATCAAGAATCAGACTCTTAACCAACTGAGCTACTCAGGTGCTCCCATATTCACCTAGTTTTTATAAAAATCCACTTTTAAGATTTGTGTTACAAATATTTTCCCACGTATTTCCATTGTGGCCTTTGTTTTTGGTACAAAAGTTGTAAAGTTTATAGTGAAATAAATCTTTGATCTTTTTTAGAGCCTCCAAGTTTCCAGTCTTTGTTAGGAAAGTCTCCCCTATCCTTAGTCTATAGTATAGTCTCCAAAGTTTTCTTGCAATATTATTTTTCACTGTTTTGCTCTCTACATTTTTATCCATTTGGATTTTTTTGTGTGCAATACGTAAGATTAGAGTCCATTGTACTTTCTCCCATATGTATAACCAATTGTGCCAATATCATTTATTAAATAGTCCATTTTCTTCCCACCAAATTGAACTTCCACCTGTATTATGTGTTAACTTTTCATAAATATGACTTGATTATAGATTTTATATTTTGTTTTACTCGCCAATTTTCCATTTCTGTTTGGCTTTATGCTATGTTCTGTAAGGCAACACTCTTTAACTGTTCTTCTTTTTATGATTTTCTTCTCTATTTTTAGTCATTTATTTTTCATATGAATTTGAAGATAATTTTATGAAATTTCATTGCAAGTATTGTTTGGATTTTAGTTAGAATTCAATATACATATCAATTTGAGGAATTCAAAGACCTACTTTTTAAACCAGTAGGTCTTCTTCCCCAAGAATGTAGCATAAATGGAATACATTTATTTCATTCCAATACATTTCTTTCTTACTAAATAGATCTCTAAATGTGTTATAATTTTGGTTGCTTAAATGTAATACTTTCCTCATTTCCTTTGCTGATATTTGCCAATAAAATAAAGTTATAATTTTTTATGTTCATCTTATTTTCAGCCATCTTACCAAAAAATGTAAGGTTACATGGTAAGATTGAGGAGTGGGTGGGAATTGAATGTGTTGGGGTCTGTGGGCACAGGGCTGGGTTGGCCTGGAGCCTGAGGATATTAGGAAAGGAAGCAGACCAAACATAAGAAGAAAAATTGGTTGTGTCTTCACGGCATTGTGTTAGTGGGAGTTTGTTCCACTATGAGCAGCTGTGAATAACAGAAACCTAAAAAACAGTGGATTACATAGAATAATATTTATTTCTCTCTTACATTAAGAAGTCTTTTGTACGCAATCTGGGCTCTATAGTCCTCAGGAACCCAATCTACTTCTATTTTTATATTCTGCTATCCTTCAGATGTGGTCCTCATCATTATGGTCTAAAATGAACTCCAGGCATCACATCCATCTGCCAAGTAGGATGATGGAGAAAAGGGAAGAAGAGACAAAGGACACATTGAAGGTATATCATAAATTTCCTAGAAGCTGCCACACACTAATTCTACTCACTCTGTTGGCCAGAACTGAATTATATGGTTATGTCTAGTTCCAAGGGATGCTGGGAAATATTTTTATTTAAGATAAAAATTCTAAAGACTATAAGGATTTTATTCCAAGTCAAGATTCTAAAATGGTGATAATAGACATATTGGGATTAGCAACCAGTGGTCTCTGATGCAAGTATGTTTGTAAGGAGGTGAGGGCATGTGTTTTCTTTTGTAGCTCTCAGCTGCTAGTGCAGAAAGGAGAAGGAGCAGTTGAATGGAATATGGTGCAGGGGATTGAGGGCCTGCAGAAGAATAGGAGTGCCAGGCATGGAGGGTGTGGGAGAGAGAACAGTTTAAGTCTGGTTGGAAAGGAAAGAAGGCTGCATAGAGGACGATAGACTGGGAGAAATAAGAGGCATCAAGGGATTCGTGGTCTTAGACTGAAACATAGATGCACAGCTAGATGGCTGGGAGGCAGTGTCTGAAAATGGCATGTTTGGCAGTGATGAGATGAACAGTGTGGGTGTAGCAGTGAGTGATTGATGTGGAAGGGTGATGAGGATCATTCAATGCAAGGAAGGTAACATTTGGCATTGGAGGGTTCTCCCCCTGCACACTGACCTGCTCCAGGAGGATGGCAGGAGTAGGGAGACAGAGAAATTCAGGGAAGTTGGTGTAGTTAGATAGCTTGAACCCCAAAGGAATTACACAGGAGGAGAGTATTGGTTTTGAAACACATAGGAATGTGAGGACTCTGATCCCACCTCCTGGCTTCATCTGCTGAACCAGGTAGATATGTAGACATGAGAGAACAAGAAATCATCCCTCAGGATGGCTGTATAAGGTGCTTGTGGTCAGGGATAAATAGGTCTCAGGGGGGTCCAAGAAGAGAAGAGAACCTTATGTGATGAGGTGTAGGATGAAGGGGATTGATTTGCCCTGGGATAAAGGATTCTAGTGGGCATAGAGGATTTGCAGGAAAGAGGAGCAGCTAGTGTTTGGGAGAAGATACATAGGACAGTATGGGGTTGAGAATGTGAGAACAAATGAGAAGGTTTACAGTTTGGACAGTGATGTAAAGTCTAAAGGATGTAACATTTGGGCATGGGGAGTCCACACGGATCTCTGGGGCCAAGTTGTCTTGGAGAAGTTCCAAGCTGTGGCTCCAGAGTGATTTGGGCTAGTACAAGGTTCCTGGCTGTGGGTCAGCTCAAGGATGGGCTCTGAGTGGTTACAGACCACACAGGAATTTCCAACAACCTAAATGTGGAACAGCTGCAGGTCAAAAAGAGATTCATTCCTTCCTTGGAAGTCTCCCTTGCCTAGCTTCCAAGGCTTCTGGGATAAAGTTTGAGCCCAGAAGCAACCATCACTCACCCTGCCGGATAACTCTGGCTGCCCAATAATGCTGAGAATCATGCTCTTCTAACATCTAATTTGATTTAAAATCTTTTATGTTTGAGGTGAACTTTTTCTCTGTTGACAATGGGCTGGGTTTAGCCTATTCATTAGGGGTGGAACTCCTAGCTTGTGGTAAATCCTGATTGGAAAACAATATAAACACATTTCCTGGTAAATGTATAAATACATATAGATGTTGGTTGTTCCCCTCCCCACCACTAATATACACTGTAGAAGCAATTTGAAGCAATTTAGATGTGCTCAGCATCTGGCCATCATAAAAGGTTTTGAGTGAGTCATGATTTTGCATCAACAGAGAGGGTTTGTCTTGTTTGTGGAGAGAATTGTATTCACCTCTCCTTCTGCCTGTGAGCTTCTCTATTACTTTATGATGATCAGTCTGATTTGTGTGTAAAGAGACTGGTGAGATAAGAATTTGGGGAAGGGAAGCAAGGAGAAGAGGAGGAGCACCCAAACAGCTACATATTCAAGGCAAAACAGATTTGGGGAGAATTACCTCTTTTTGCTTTTGAGAAGCAAGCAAGCAAAAGCAAGCAAGCAAGCAAGAAAGAAAGAAAGAAAGAAAGAGAGAAATGAAGGAAGAAGGAAAGAGAAAGAAAGAAAAGAAGGAATGAAGGAAGGAAGGAAGAAAAGAAAGAAAAGAAAGAAAGAAAGAGTGAAAAAAGTGTCATTTTGTGAGTTAGGAGATGACCTCTGCTCCTAGCTGTCGGCTACTCAATCTCTTGGCACCTCAGTTTGCTCATCTGACAAGTGGGCCCCTTAACGGTTGCCCTATCCAGTTGAGAGGAAAGGAGAGCTCTTGCTTGACAGCTCTGTTGGGTGCCAGCTGTGCTGTGGGCTCCTTAGATCTGCCATCTCATTTAATGCCCAAGACAATCCCATGAGGGAAGTGGCATTAAGCTCTTCTTCAGCTGAAAGAACTGAAACATGGAGAGTCAAAGTGGCTTGTCCAAGATCATAAAGCTTATCAGGACTCAAACCCACATCTGTCTGGCTTCAAATCCTGTGTTCTTCCTATTACTTCATGCTAACAATGAGGTCATAGAACACATTCTAGTCTCCTCCTTGGAAGGGAAAAAGCACAAAGTGGCTTCCCTGCTGTAAGGCCCAAGATGTTCCTGGGTCCTTGGTCCCCACAGAGAGCCCAACTAAGCCCAGTTCTGTTTCCTCAGAGCCCTGCTTTCTGCTGTGGGAGCAGGTGGGTTGTTAATCTGATAAACGGCTTCCTGCTGAGGTGGGAGGGGGAGCTACAGGGCTGCTGAATTGCCCTCCAGAGTGGCAGGTGGGAGACTCCTGTGCTTTAACCCACAGAATTGCTTTAGGACTATGATCTGAAAGGATGAGGGCTTTGGGGTTGGTTAGTCTGGGGTAGGAGACCTGGCTCTGCCTCTTGCTAGTATGTGACCTCATCTGCCTTTCAATTTACTCATCAGAAAAATGTGGATAGGAATGCACACCGTAAAGGGTAGATGTGAATATTAAATGAGATAATGTGGGAAATAAGCAAAAGCCTAGCACCTTTGTCACACATTATACACAACCAAGTAAAAGGCAGCTGTTGTTTCCATCAAGGAGGTGGGCAGACTTCCGGGGAGCTATTTAAGCATTGAGTAGTTTTTGTGTCCCATCCCTTATGTCCACATCACAGCCAATCATTTATTATTTATTTTATTTTATTTTATTTTATTTTATTTTATTTTATTTATTTTATTTATTTTATTTTTTAGAAAATGTGTTCTAAATGCTCTGTCAGCTTCTGGGAAAGAGTATGTATGAGAGAGGCAGCATCCTTCTTCCTGTACAGCTCACAGTTGAGCTGGAACCACATGTGGTAGGGAAGTATCTGGTACAGTCACAGAGGGAGCAGGACCTATGAATCTAAGCTTGACTGGCCCAATGAGGTCTCTTAGAGAGTCTGGCATTTTAAAATCCACGCCTTCTCTCTGGGTGTAACAGGGGTCTTGTTATGGAGTTGTGAGACACACTCCTTCCTTTGTGGAGACAGCAAAGGCTAGGCTTATGGACTGCTGAGAGAAGGAGGAGGCAGAGCCCTGGGTGTGGGCGGTCTCCAAGGCAGTCCTGGGGGTGCTTCCCATCTGGTGCTGGGGAAAACCCATCACTTTTGTCAGAGACAGACTGATGCCTCTAGCTCAGAGTTTATGGGATAATTTACTTGTTATCTGAAGCATTTCTACAGTGTTAGGTGTTGCCATATCTGCCAGGGATGGTAAATATAGCAGGGACTTGCTCTAGCTCCCAGCTCACCCAGGTCACCTTGATGTTGGGCAGATCAGTGAGCACTTGGGGCCTCTCCTGGAAAGCAGTGAGATGGGTACCTGGGCTCAGGCATGGAACTTGGAGAAAAGGCTCATTGTCAGTCTCCCTGGTACAAGTCCAAGGTACAGCTGTTCTGGGGGTTGGATAGGGATAGACAGAGTTCACCCTTCTGGGCTTTTCAGATCTTCCATGATCCAGCCCCTTCCCATTCCACTCTACCCCACTATCCTGCTCATTACTCAACATCTAGCTAGCAGGCAGTTCCTCATGAGTCCCCAGACACATTGAAGCTCACTCACACCTCACTGGTTTTGTTTGCAACTGGATCCCTACTGTTGAACTTCTCAGCCATAGCTAGCTCATCTTGCAAGCCCAGCTCCCATTCTGCCTTCTCCAGAAAGCTTTCCTTAACTTCTGTAGCACATGTTGACCTTTCTCCTTTAAGATCTCCCCATTTTAGTGACTATGCATTAATTATCTCATGCATTAATTCATTCAATGCATTGACAAGTCTTACTTGCTCTATATGAAAAATACTTCCCAAATCCATCTACTTCTCTCCATCTGTACTGCTTCCCACCCTAGTTACCTCTAGCTTGGATTATTAAATACCCTTGTAACTGGTCTTCCTGCTCTCACTCTGCCTCTCTCCAACTCCTCTGTACTCTGTGGAATAATTAGTGATATTTTATAAAGGCAAATTAGGGGCGCCTGGGTGGCGCAGTCGGTTAAGCGTCCAACTTCAGCCAGGTCACGATCTCGCGGTCCGTGAGTTCGAGCCCCGCGTCGGGCTCTGGGCTAATGGCTCAGAGCCTGGAGCCTGTTTCCGATTCTGTGTCTCCCTCTCTCTCTGCCCCTCCCCCGTTCATGCTCTGTCTCTCTCTGTCCCCAAAATAAATAAAAGTTGAAAAAAAAATTAAAAAAAAAAAAAAGGCAAATTAGTTCAGTCACTCCCCTGTTTACAGTCTTCCAGTAGCTTCCCAAACTCATCTCCACAGCTCACAAGGTTCTGCTTTTCTGGTACATGGGTGCCTTCCCAGCCTCTTCTTATCCCATATTCCTTTTTTCATTCTGCTTCAGACACCTCAGCCTTCTCTCCATTTCCCAAAAAGGCCAAACCATTCCCACTGCCTCAAGGCCTTTCCACTTGCTAAGCCTTCTGCCTAGAATGGTCTCAGCTCCTCAATGCCTACTTCCTTCTCATCACTCAGCATTCTGTTCAACAGTAACCTCCTCAGTGAGGTCTTTCCTGAATACCCAATTCAAAGTAACTCCT